ATCTTGCGGGCCCTTCAGGAGATGAGCATTCAGTGACACACCATGTGCTACAGCAGCGGCATCAAAGACCAGCCTCAATTTCCGTGGCTTGTTAGGGTTAACCACGTCGAAGTGCGGCAAATACCATGTTTTGTTTTGTACCGAGGATATCTCTTCTGGCTGGAGTTTGCGGGCGTAATCCTTCACGATGTAAGAGTTCATTATTTCTTTGTAAGATTCTGCAAAGGTGCTGTCACGCTGCATTTTCCTTTCGATGCCAAGAAGTCGCCTGTATGCCATTGAGTAACTTTCTGGCAGAATAATGTCGTCACTCCTCCACAAGAGCCCTGTTTCGTACCTTCCGTTTACTCGACGCGTTGTTGTATGTAAGATTGCTTTCGCGCGGATGTCATCTGCANAGGCAGAATAATGTCGTCACTCTTCCACAAGAGCCCTGCTTCGTACCTTCCGTTTACTCGACGCGTTGTTGTATGTAAGATTGCTTTCGCGCGGGTGTCATTTGCACTTTCAACAGGGGGCGCTGGTTTCACTCCGAAGCTTTCTATGGTGAAATAATCAGCCACCAGGTCGTGAAGGTCTTGGTCGCTGGTTTGTTTGACTAAAAGACATCGTTGTACTTTGGGCTGAGCATTTACTGTTGGACCAAATACAGTCCAGCCAAGCTCGGTATTAGCGGCGTATGGTCCAGTGCAATGAATCCTCAGGACTTCCGTAGGCAGACCTAAATGGCAGTGGTCGAGGCCTAGTAACAATTTTGGCACGGCACCACTATATGGGTCCAACGGCAACTGCCGCATGTGGGTTAATGATTTGAGGTCTTCTTTACTCACGCTTTGTGATGGCAAACACAAATTCGACACGCTATGGACGTTACGCAGATGATGTCTCTTCTCCATTCCTGTGCCACTGATGAACAAGTTGACGACTTGGCTGAGTTTTTCAGCTGCCCGACCTCCGAACCACTGAACATGTAGCTTGCGCTGATGGCCACGTAACCCCAGCTCCTGTACTAAAGCACTGTCAATCAGAGTGACAGACGAACCTTCGTCGAGCAAAGCATAAGTGTTGACGCTTTTGTCCTTACCATAGAGCGTCACAGGCAAGATACGGAATAACAGCTTGTTTTTTACTAAATTGTTGCTGCAACTCAAGACTGATTGTTTATTACCTTGATTTGGTAGATCTGCAAGTGCTGGAGACGGTTCTGGTACTGGAGCTGACTTCTGAGTCGAATCGTGTAGGAGCTTGTGATGCACTCTTTTACAGCCATCTAGAGTACAGGTCTTTCGGCGACGGCAATCCCGTGTAGAATGTCCAGCATGGAGGCAGGAAAAACATAGGTGGTGACGTTTAGCTTCAGTCCAACGATCAGGTACTGTCATTTTAATGAAGCGTTGACAATCCGCTAACTTGTGACCGTGTTGGCAGATTACACATTTCAAGGTTGGTGTCGAATGTTTTTCACGCTGGTTTTCTGTGGCATATAATACTACACGACGTTTTATTGTTTCTTTGCTATCGAAACTTTGCACAGTGCATATGAGATTCGCAGTCTGAGTTAGCCATTCACTAAAGTGTACTATGGTTGCGTACGGCTGAATCACTGATGCAAACCTGGCCCACTCGATTCTCTTGCTCATTGGCAGTTTATTGACCAGCTCCTCCATCAACGTCGGGTTCACCAGATGCTGATGACCGTTCGCCGATTTCAAAAACGCGACAAGATTTTGTACTTTAGTAGCAAACGGAATCAGCTTCACTAAATTGGACTCGGGCACAGATGGTATATCTTTGATGATCGACAGTTGGCTACGAATAAGTTGTTCGGGGCGACCAAAACGAAACCTTAGCTGCTCAATGATGGCATTTACATTGTCTGGATGGATCAATAACGCCTGCACAGTATCACGAGCTTCCCCTTTCAGACTTTTCTGCAAGCGCTGGTTGTTCTCTAAATTTGTGTAGCCATATACCGCTGTAGACTGTATGAACGCTGTATGAAACAAAGGCCAATCCTCTGGATGGCCGTTGAATTCAGGCAAGTCCTGCAATTTGCGCGGTGCTAGTGCCGTATTTCCATGTAGGACGTTGTTGAATGTAGGCGTTATCCCAGGCATTCCTGCATCTGGCAAAGGCGACGCTGATGATGAAGCGAAAGGCGCTCTCGTTGGTAGCAATAGCGAACATGACGGCGGATGCTCACTCGTTACTCTGGCGCGTTGATGAATGCCGCTAATTGGTTGAAAATCGCTCAAACCTGCATTAGAGGACGACGGCTGCGTGACAGGGACAGCCATAGAGCTGGCGACAACGGCGGACGAGTTAGCGGCACTTGTAAAGACAGGAGTAACGGCTTCATAAGTAGCAGACCTATTGTTAATGTACGGTACCTTAAAAGTAGCGGCTTGATGAGTCATGGCGGGAAACCCATGCGATGCAGAGACTGTATTGGTGGTCAAACTACTATACAAGGCGGTGGATGCTTCATTATCAGGTCTCGGCATCATTGTGTTATTAGCGCCCTCAATGTAGCAGCCAACTGAGCCGGTAATTGCACTGGTGCTTGGAACGGCGTATGATATGGCCGTTGTGTCATCCTTGGAAGTGCGCTGCTGGAGTGCCTCCCTTAACGCGAGGCATTGTGAATCGCTTTCCTTAGCTCTGACTTGCACGCTTTTAAGTTGACATTCAAGAGAGGCAATTTGTTTAAGCAGGGTCTGAACAACGCTTTCTTGGGTGGGCAAATTTGCGGAACTGGCGAAAGTATTTTGTGTGATGGCTTCTGATCGTTGGCAAACGCTATCCTCTGGTGCTGTTGCGGCGGGTACAGCGGTGGTAGCAATTTGCGTTCGATGTTGGCTCGGCTGCATTTCCACTTGGCCGGCGGGACTAGGATCATAGGCTGCATCGGCTTTGTCTTGACTGGATTCTGATACTAATCCTTGGAGGCGAGGGCTTCT